AATGGTTTCTGCCTGGCCAGCAGCTGAAGGAAGGTGCTGTTCAATGGGGGCAAATTTGCGATCATCTGAATTTTTGCTCCCGCCAGCCAAGCCTTGGTTGCAGTCTCTCCTGGCTGGGACCAGGACTTGGATGCCAGAGCTCTCAAAGCCTGGCACAGCCTGACTGCCTTCAGAGTCCTCCAGTCCAGCTGGATGGCAGCATAGCACTGGAAACTGTGGCTTAGCAGACTTGAAACTAAATGCTGAACTGGTTGGGCCCCAAAATTCGTCTCCAGAGCTGAATCTGAGATCTGCGATAGTCTGGGGAGGTCTAACACTTCCAGCTCTGATTGTAGACAAAACGGGAGCCGAGTACTTTGGTGTCCAGGTGTGCTTGAACTGGATGGGTTGCTTCAGCTATTTACACGGTGTCTTGCTAGGGCTACCCAAACATTAATTAAAGAAGGTCCCTCCAGGCCTGTTTATAACAGAAAAGCAAAGCGCGTGACACTGTTGTCCCGCAGGCACTACAGGAGCTATGGATGGCAGGGAGGACCACATCCTGGCTCCCCACCTGCCCCCTCCCACTCCCCCGTGCCACGCGAGCGAGCTGCAGCCCCGTGCCTGCAACCACGTGCCTGACGTGGCTGCCCTCAAGTGCAAACTCCTCTGGGCTGAAGGAGAGAAATCCCCCTTCTTCAGCCCCTCCATCCCAGCCGTGCGTAGGGGAGAGCTTGTCTTCATTGCAGTGCGTGATGCCCATGGGGAAAAACGCCAGTGGTGCTGGGGACTGCTGCTGGTCCCAGGCTGAACTTGCACTGGGCCCTCTGTGCCGGATCCTGTGCTGCGCTAAACCCACCCGGCTCCAGCAAAGCAGCCGCACGTTGATTTGATGCAAATCTGCTGGTACCCGCATGAGAGCTACAAAGCGGGAGAGGAGCTGGGAAGAGGAAGCACAAACCCTGGAAAAACCAAGGAATAATCCCAGGTAATGGACCTCTCGCTGAAGCCACCCAGATCAAATGCAAGAGCCTTCGCGTTTCTGTTCGGTATTGGTGCCGCCTTCGGGCTGTTCCCAGTCACTGCGTGTTTCCTGGGGCTCTCCGGGGTCACCAGAACTTTTTCTGCGACTTCAGGAGGGCGTTCTGCTTTACAACTCCAAGAACACCGTCGCCTGTAGTTACTACAGGCAGGCAGGAGAAGCTGTGTGAGGACTTGAGCCTGCAGTTAACGTTCAGAGCTACCCCGGGCACACCCAAACCAGTCGAACGTGGCCAACAACCAGGACAAGCAATTGCACGGAAATGAATCTCCAATTCATGTTAATAGCTCCAAACCTAAAGTTGCCAGAGGCTAATTAGAGAAGCTTTGAGAGTTTGAGGAGTAAAATTATCTTAATAGTTTAACTGTATAAACACACTGACTCATTACAGTGAGGGTGGAATAACTGTCTCCTGGGCAGCGTGTTCACCTGTAAGCCAGAGGCTGGCTTCTTCTCTGCACGTTTGCTTTGAGATGGGGAAATCTGCCTGAGAAGGAAATGAAGGTTATGGCTCTGTGGTTTGATGGCGCTTTGCTCTAGTGATATTTTTCTGGTAGGATTTGCAGAGCTATTTGCCCACCTCTCTGTACTCCTGTACGTATTTATTTATTTAAATATTTTGTACTTGTTTGTTTATTAATATATATTGTAATATCTATTTATATATAAATACTATGCATTATTTATAAGCCACCTTTTTCTTCCTCAGCTGAGCATTGCTTGGGTCCATCTGGAGTCAGACCTGTTGCCCAGGCGCTCTCGTGCGAAGGCAGCACAGCGAAGGCCTGATCGACTTCAAGTGAAATTCAATATACGGTGTTTGGGAGAGGAAAATTGTCCACTGCAGAAGACATGAGTGAGCGGCACGTCCCCAAAGAGGCCAGAGAAAGCCTCTGCCCCAGGTACGGCAGCAGTCAGGGCGAGAGGCGTCCTGTGTCAGGAAAAGGGATGCTGCTGCTGCTGCTGTGTCAGGACAACTTTGGAGATCAAAGCCTGGAAGGGCTGAAGATGGTCATGGATGAAAGGAAGGAGACCCCAAAGCCAACCAAACCACGCTTGGCCTCTGCGGGGAGGGGAGGACAGAGGATGACAAGAACAGCAACTCCTTTATGTTATCTCCTTGCAGCTCTGCGATGATGTTTACCTGGAGAGCTTCCACCAGCCAGGAGCCACCATCCCATCCTCCTGCAAGCACCCCTAGTCATCTTCCACTCCCACTGCCCTGCCTGGGCTTTGCACCTCGGATGGTTGAATACCGGCCTCTCTGGGACATCTCATCCCAACTCGAACATGGCCACCAGCCCGCAGAGCACCGCAGCCTTCCTCCTCCCAGCTTCATCCCTCCTGCCTTCACAGGACCACGGAGTCAGAGCCGTGTTGCAACCCAGGACATTTTGCAGGGCAAGCAAACACGAGAGGAGCTGTGCAAAGGTGGGGAAGGCTGCAGGAGCACCCATTTCAACACCAGCACCTCCTCCTCCCTCCCCTTTTCTACCGACCTCCTTTCACTTGCTTCCCACACCAACATAAGCCTTTGTGACCTAAATAACTTTTTTTTTTGGTCGTACTCTACACAGAACCCATCCACCCATTTAACAGATTTCTCAGAAGGTGAGACCTCACGTGTCTTGTGACTGGGGCAGGGGGGCAGGCTTTTTAAGCAGTGCCACTAAGAAAAAACATAAAACAAAGGAAAACTGGAGTTCCAACCCACACCTGCCTGCAGGCGAGGCAGAGGATGGCTCTTATGTGAGGGAATTTGCCACTGGGAAAGCTTGGGAAATCAGTCAGAAGACATGCTGGGAGTATAGGAAATGACAAATGAGTCTCTTATCAGACCAGGACAGGGAGACAGGTGAAAGGAAATTTTAAGCTGTGAAAAATCTTTTTTTCTTTAATTTATTTTCCCCTACGACACGCAATGAACATGCCCCAGGAATTCCCGAAGGCCAAAATACATCAAGATTCAGAAGAAGACTAAGCAAGATATGGACAGCAAGAATACCCAGCTTCATTAGAATTAACGGCAGTAACATGTCAGCAGGTATATTAAACGCCCCGCGTCAGGGTGCAGGAAACACTTGAGTCGTTCGCTCCACCTGGAGTGGGGAGGAGGAGGGTGGGGAGGAGGAGGGTGGGGAGGCAGCTCCAGCTCCAGCCCTTCTCCAGCCTCCATCAGAGGTTCCTGCGGCAGAAGGATGATGTGAGGTGGGCAGACAGCTGATGTGTCTCCCTTTGGTGTTCCCTCGTTTGGACGCAGAGCCCGGGCAGAGCCCTGCAGCCATGGTCACCTTGGCAGTGCTGCCGGGTGCTTGCCCTCCCCGTGCAGCACCCTTCCCTGCAGGAGATGTCTCTTCCCAAGCTGCACAAGAAGTTGCATCTGCACGGAGGTCAGAGACGACACATCACCCTCGTGCCCGCAGTGGGGGGAGAGGTGTCCACGTTCAGTGTTGGGATGGATCTACTGCTAATGAAAGCCTCTGGCTGGCATCTGGGAGTAGAGATGGTTGGTACTTTCCCAGTACCAACCCTAATGGGAAAGCACAGTGCAAGCACAGTGGTGCTCACACCAAGACTGTCCCACTCCAATAGCTCTGGGGCCTCTGTTTTCCCTCTTTCTGTGACAAACTTGGAAGTCCTAATACGCCAAGCCCGTGAGGCTACTAGGAAAAAAATGGTGATGGCTTTCTGAGGTGCTGGAGAGGATCTCAACACAAATTCAAGCTCCCAGCTACGCTTCTCGTTTGAGCTTAGACAAATCAATTAACCTTTTAGTGCCTTTCTATCTTATAAAGAGGATCACTGACTCCTCCTCCTTCCCATCCCTTTTTCCTCTTGTCTATTCAGAGTGAGCACTTCAGGGCAGGCTCTATTTCCTTCCGTAGGTACAAACCTTCTCCAGCTCAAGGCACTGCTGAAACCCTGCTGCTATTGTAAAGATGACATGGGATCAGCGAAGATGAAAAACC